GTATAATGGACCTCACCAAATAGGTTGTTATAATTCGAATCAGGAAAATATTTACAGATATTTTATTTATTTACTTTGCCTCATATTTGTTCACCTCCGTATTATACTGGTATTATTGGACCACTAGTGAGTGTCGATGTCGACCCCTCGTCACTACTTCTCCGGAGTTAGGCTAGATACTTACTGGGTACACGTGGATTTACGTACTCATGCTACACTTGCTGCACATTTGTGTTCAGGTACTTTTATGTCCGGTGGTCCTTTGAGCACGGAGGCACAGATGATGTGGGGACTTGCCGCGAGCTGCATTTCAGGTTATGATCCGCAGCCAGCAGAGTCTCTTTCAGAGTTATTTGTATTTTTCATGTCTAAGTTGTACTCCGGACAGATATTGTACTTTATTTTTACTTCTTAGTTGATGCCCATGCACTTGTGACACCGGGTTTTGGAGTGATTACGAGTTGTTCTGTATTGAAATTGTTGAAAATATTATCATTTACTCTGTAATTTCCATCTTTTACTATTTAATGGAAAGAAAATATGATTTCAAAATATTAAAACGAGAACCAAATTAAGTATTTATTGTTGGCTTGCCTGACAGCGATATCCGGCGCCATCACGACCTTTAATGAATTTTGGGTCGTGACAAGTTTACCTTGTGATATTCAGATAAGGTTATGGTTGTTTTGTTGAGAATTAGTTCCTCCCAAACAGTAGGCCCCACTTCCCCACATAAAAGAAAAATATTGAATATTTACAATGGTAAAAAAAAACTAATTTAATTTATATATACTGATAGTACTTATAAAAAAACTATTATATATGTTTAATGCAATTTAATCAGTTATATCATTCATAGGCTAAATTAGCATAGTGGATTTGTTATGAATTATTATACATTGTCGTAGGCCGACTCAATCTAACAATGTAAAAAAACAAATATATAATATTAGTACACAAAGTCAATTAAATTAAAACTCGAAAAACACAAGCCAAAATCCCTGGTTTTGTCAAGCCACACATTTTCTTCAAAAATCACGTGCGTGTGCTGGGATTGTGGCTTAACGAAAAATTGGTACGTAGATTTAATTCGTATCAAGTGATCAATTTACCAGAGTAATTCCTATTCATCTCAATAATATATTTTTATGTAACAGTCAGAGAGTTGAATTTAAGTACCGTAATTTCAAAACTGTATTGCATGCAACATGTTTTTTACCGTTCTGTAATTTTATTTCCCCTCCTGTTTTAAAGTTATTGTTTTAATCTTTCTTTTTTCGACGGTGATATCCAACTAGCTTGTACACACCACGACTATTTTATTGATGTAGCCTAATTTTCTAGCACATTTTTTTCTTCAATCTTTCCAATCAAATAGTATATATCTTGGTTTATTTCCTTAAGCTTCACAAAAATGGAATACTCGGTCAATTGCTGAGCTCTCCTTTCCTATTTAACTAACTTATGCACTATATTTACCATACATAAATACACTTTGAAATAGTCACAACTCGTACCTACTCATTGTATTTGGTAGCAAAATCCTAACAGTAAATACAATGTATATTGTGTATGGAGTCACATATGGTGATACAATAACTGTATGTAGTACTGTATTTTAGTGTATTGTATGTGTTGATTGATACAACCATTTAAAGCGAATGAATACAAGTGATGCAAGTTGTTAACATTGAACAATAGCTATAAATGATAATTAGGTAAACTATAATTACTTATGGTAATTAAACTCTAAACTGTAATACTTTATGAAAATTCCTCAATAACTTTTAATTGGTAACTGAAAAAAGTCCAAAGATTACAAAAGAGAGAAGTGGTATGAGCCAATGAAGGAAACTCTAACAAGCTGAAGGCACTGCACTGAAAGGATCACCAAATGCTGCAATATTCCCTGGCCTTGAAAATACAATCTACAAGAATTGAAGTACCCCTTTGAGTTGTTTACTTCTCAAATTCGGTAAGACAATTTCAAGATTTCTTGTAAAAATTTGAATAAATGCATGTATTTGCATAATTTGGTAAATAAAATCGTGCTTTCCAATTGCATAATAAGTAGTTCACATAATTCAACATGGTATCATAATAAGTTTGGGATGTGTAGTTAGAGTCAATATCCTAATTATTATTTCATAGTCACTTGATCTTAGATCCTAAAGTGAAGATCAAGGTCCATTTGATTAGAACTAATAAGTTTTAGACCACTTTGCCCTTATATTCAAAGAATTCTCAACATACCTGATAATCTCCTAGTGTGCACGTTTTGAATCCAGCAGCACAGTAATCAAAGTAGTACTCCCATGTCCTGATGAACTTGTTGTCGAATCCCAAAGCATGAATTTGGCTAGTTACACAGTTATTAATGCTCAAGTGTCAGAGTCGAGAAATAGGTTGAACACAATAGAACTGATGTTGGTTTACTTACCTTTGTTTTTGCAGGAAGTTTTTCCGCCAGCATCTCAGTGTTTGATAGTAATGAATTCCTATATCTTCTAGGTGCTCTACACTGTATTTACAACATTTTCATATGATTTAAAACATGATTTTTAATAAGAGATAACATGTTATGTGCAAAATCAAAAATCAACTCGTTCTTACCTTAGTCTGGACGCTGCAGCCATGGCTGATGTTACTCGACTAAGTGCAGGCAAGCATGCACCTGGGAATATATACTCTTTTATGAAGTCAGAGCTCTGCCTGTATTCGTCATACCTCTCGTCTGGTATTGAAATGAACTAAGGAAAGCAAACACTTGTGAAAAATCAGCAAAAAAATTGAAGGGAAAAAGTGAAAAAAGTGGAATGTGTTGAGGATCATTACCTGCAGAACAAGAAGGCCATCTCCTGCAAGTGCGGAATCACAGCAAGTAAAGAACTCCTCCATAAACTCATGACCAACAGCTTCTAACATCTCACTGAAAACGATTATTAGTACAGTTATCACTCTGCATAGTAATGAGTAATAGGAAATGACCTAATTTTAGTAGGCCAAAACTTACCATGATATAATCCTGTCATATCTCGACATATTTGGCAATTGCCGATAGTCACATAGGAGAAATGTTATGTGATCCTGTGAATATATTTCATTGAACTTAGGTAGTAAAAGGGCAGCCCGGTGCACCAAGCATCCAATTCACGCAGGGTCCGGGGAAGGGCCGCAACCCAAGGGGCTGTGATGCAGGCAGCCTACCCTAATGCAAGCATCAATGGTTGAACTTAGTATTTATTAAAATTTTCCAAAATTGGCTTCAAGTGTTTAACAGATATAAAGCATGTTTTTGTATGATATAACTTCTCTAGCCCGACTTTAGACCTTGCTTGTTTTCGATCTTTAGGTAGTTTAGAATAGAACAAAAGAATTGTGCATCTTGAGTTTCCACTGATGTTTGAAGTTATATACCTGAAGGCCTGCTTGCTGAACTCTTAACTGTGCATATTTCAGTTGCTGTTCAGAGAGAGTGATACCGGTATATTTACATCCTGTTCGCTTAACAGCTTCCACAGCCAAACTTCCCCAACCACATCCTATCTCTAAAATGTGATGTTCCTTGCTAACTTTTGCCTAAAAATATTAGCATCAGAATCAGGTTAGGCTTGAAAATTATGTCGAAATAAGGGGTTACTTACTTTGTTGATGACTTACCTTTTCAATGAGAAGAGAAATTTTCCTCTCCTGTGCAACTTTCAAGTCTTCCTCTTCACTCTAGAACAAGTATAAAGGAAAAATAGATCAACATAAAAATGAGATTAAAGAACAGAAATGTAGATTGCCTAAGATATGGAGACGACGTTGCAAATATTTGAAATTCGAGCTCTTACCTTAAAAATTGCACATGAATATGTCATTGTCTCATCTAGAAATAGCGAGAAGAGTTCATTACTCTGGAAAAGAAGCAACAAATATACTTATCAATTTACACTTGAAGCCATGGACCTATTTATGATGAGAAAGTTACACGAAAACAGCAGGCAAAAATCCATATGCATTGAGAACTTCAATTTCATTAGTGATCTTGACATCAGTATGTGCTTTGGGTGATACAGTAAACAAGTTATTTACCAGGTCATAGTGACGAGAGATGTTCCGACGAGCCTGAGTCAGGGTGTTTTGATTTGAAACATGTCGAACGAAATATTTTGCAGATGATACTGCAGCTGTAAAAAGCAATGGTGTCCACCAGCCTCTGGAGAGCAAAGGTAACGAAAAACCTTTAACATATGAACGTAAGTTGCAATTTCCTGATTTCAGTTTCTATAAACTACTTACCTTTTCTTACTAGACCTTGTCACTAATGCTTTCAAATCTCTGTTGTTAACGAAAATCTGTAAAAGAATTCAGGATGCCAAGTACCAACAAATAGCTATTTACAAAGAAATAGAGTCATTTCCTCACCATGAAAAGATTAAGAAGACCTTCATTCTTATCAACAAAAGAAAAATCCCCTTGAATAAAAGCATCGGCAAGGCCTAAGTCACCTTGAGTTGCAACCTGTAAGAGATTATT